TTATATAAACCTTGACTAGACATCCTTAGACTAATTGACTAAGCTATGACCTTAGAAATTTTAAGATTATCTACATATTATCTTTATCTCATTTCAAATTTATAGAAACACAGTGGGTAGGTGTAGTGGGGAATGGCTGAGGTAGGGTTCAGAGGGAAGAATAGCCATAGGGTCAGTAGAAAACTCATTCCTGGATTGGTGTTAAGGGAGGGGTCCTCAAGATTTTTAATTTAAGAGACCCGATACTGTTAATTTAAGAGACCTGATCTGTTTAGATTTGTTAGGAGAATATGCCTACATATGTGTCCACAAAGATTTACAAGTAGTTTCAATTATTTCATGCCACACATAATTTTTCTAAGACCTTGTTTAATTTACCTTCAATTGCTGTGACAAAACACTCTGATCAGTATACCAACTTGGGGAGGAAAAGTGTTGGGACTCAGGATTGCTTTGCTTAGTGGGGGACCTACTGGCTTCAGGGCAGAGAGATTTGATTGGCGACAGAGTCTTGGACCCTGTGTCTTTTCAACAAGCTGTTTATTATTTAATTCAGATGGTTTTTATACATCCCAAAGAACTAGCAGTTACGTGGAATATGGCAGTCACAAAGATTTAGGGTACAAAGAAACAGGACATTTAGTCTGTTAGTTGGTGCCAGAGGGATTCTTACACTTTTACTCAAGGTTATCAGTGCCCATCCGGTAATTTAGTGGCCACAATGTTTTCTTTCTTAGAGCTAAAAGCATGGCGAACTTTTAGCTTTTAGCTCAGGAGTAAACCTTTAACCTGGCCTAATCTCTTAGCTAAGGATAGCTGAGTTATTTGTTCAGGACAAGGAGATAAGCTAAGGGTTGTTGACGAAGATGCTTTCCCACCGAGCAGGGAGCCTGCACTTATGACCAGGCCTCTTTCTCCTGCCAGTCTGGCAGTGTTCTGCAAGACAGGGATTATCACAGCTACTGTTTTCAGTGCCCCTCCCTTTAGCAGAGAATGCAGCCTGGACTTAAAAGTTTTAGACTCATCTCACCCTAGGGCCTGGCATCCTGGTTTTCTACAGAAAGGGTTTATTTGGCTTACATCCCCCGGGTCACAGTTCATCACTGAGGGAGCTCAAGGTAGTGGACTGAGCCCTCCCACATCACTCAATAATCAAGAAGATGTCTCACAGACATGGCCACAGGCCAGTCTAATGGAGGCAATTCACCAGCTGAGGCTCCCTCTTTCTAGGTGTCCCAAGTTGACAACTAAAGCTACCCAGCACAGACCTTTACACATTTTTAGCCAGTCACTGCCTTGTATATTTATGTCCAAGATATCAATTGATAATTTTTTTAAGAGCTGGCTTTGTAGGATGCGTGTGCTAGTGCACACCTTTAGTCATATCACTTGGGAGGCAGAAGCAGGCAGATCACTGTGAGTTCTAAGATCACTGGGTCTACAAAGTGAATTTCATGCCAGGAAAGGCTACATAGTGAGACCCTGTCTCAAAGCAAAACAAAAATGAAAACAAAGAACTGGCTTTGCTTTACAATTAAGATACTGTCTCTGGGTTGTTGTTGCTATTGTTGGAATTTTTTTCTGAGACATGGTCACCCTGCAGCCCCAGTTGGCCTGGAACTGGCCAGGTAGACCAAGACATCTGTCTTGCCTCTACCTCCTGAGTGCTGGGATTAAAAGCATGTGCCAGGGGCTGGGGAGATGGCTCAGCAGTTAAGAGCACAGGCTGCTCTTGCAGAGGACCAGGGTTTGATTCCACATGGTAGTTAACAGCCGCCTGGAACTCCAGTTCTATGAGATTTGACACACTCTTCTGTCCTCTGTGGGTATTGCAAGACATGGGTGCACTTGCATATATGCAGGCAATACATGCATACACATAAAAAATAATAAATAAAGTATTTTAAAATGCATGTGCCAACACTGCCGGCAGTCTCTTGGGTTTAATATGACTATTTGTAAGATAAAAGATTTTAAACAAACTATTAAATTGCTATCAATATTTTTATATATTTATTCTATCAGCAATGATTTTGTTAAAAACATAGCGCCCAAATTACAACTATTGTGATGAAAAGTGTCCGTTTGTAAAGTAGGTGCTTAGAACATGGATGAATAATTTTATTTCTTATAATTACATTAACCCATGCTATGTCTGAAAGAGAAAACAAAGCCATCATTACAGTAAAACTGCAATGAGCAAAGTAACCATGTTGCTTGTGGTTTCAATTTGAAGCTCTAGTGTTGACTTTGACTTTACTCTCCCTAAATGTGCAGAACCAGCTACTCCCTCCTGCAGAGGTGGAGACAAGTCTTTTTGCCCAACACTAACCACAGGTTTTGAATTATGAGCTGAAACTTGGAGCAGACAGAGAGGCAGTGATGGTTGTTTGTGAGGAAAATAAGAATGACAAGGAGTTTGCTTTGAGTATCTGTGAGACCAGGGAAGGTGAGCTTTCTTTCCTTTATTCTTGTTCTTCCTCCCTAGTTCTCTGTTCTCTGCTGGAACAATTGACACCAAGGAAACACTGACCCTTCTGCTTCCATGCTACTCCCCAGTGGCTCCTTTAAGCTGGGTCCTTTCTTAATCTCAAGACAGCCCAGAGCAGATTCACAACATCCTCAATAGATCCCTGTTCTAAAAGCCTTTCCTGAAGCGCCAAATCCTGAGCCACAAAGCTATGACAGATGGTGAAGCTATACAGACACTCTGGGGTTACTTGATATGACACACGTTCATTGTTGATCTCAGGTGAAAACAAATTATTCTTGATGTACTACATACTTGTATGGACCCCAAATCTGAGTGAGTCTATCGGGTTGATGATGGATGGTTTTCTTAATTTGTCTCTTCATTGCTGTGACAAAACACTCTGACCACTACCAACTTGTGGAGGAAATGGTTTATTCAGCTTATTATCTCCTGGGTTACAGTTCATTAGGGAGCCCAAGGTAGGAACTCAAGGCAGGAACCTGGAAGCAGGAGCTAGAGCACAGGCCATGGAAGAATGCTGCTTACTGACTTGCTTCCCTGGCCCCTGCTCAGCTTGCTCTCTCATCCAACACAGGCCCACCTGTCCAGGGGTGGCACCACCCACAGTGGGCTGGTCCCTCTCACATCACTCAACAATCAAGAAAATGCCCCACAGACACGGCCACAGGCCAGTCCAATGGAGGCAATTCCCCAATTGAGGCTCCCTCAACCCAGGTGTGTCAAGTTGACACTAAAGCTGTCCAGCACAATGGTGTAGCCAACAATCATTGTCTAGGTGCCATCTGGGCTCCATACAGCCATGCAACAGCGTTGTATGTCTATAAGATACCAGCATTATGTCACCATGACCCCAGAGCCACTAATACTGGAGTACACATGAACCATCTCTCTAGGGGTTTGGCAGCCCTTGGGGTGGGGTTATTTGTGGCCACCACTAGAACAGCAATTGGTAGCTATATATAATGTATTGTAACAGGTAGAATCCATCACTGGTTCTAGTTCTGTAATAGTGAAACCAGGTTAGCCAATAATGGGTTGGATTGAAGGCCCTTTGAGCAAGGTTTCTTTGGGAGTGACACAGAATCAAACTCTTCAAATATGGCATGCATATTTACAGCAATGTCAGGGTGGTGTCTATAAAGGTCTGTCACCAATGACATGAAGACTGTCCTTCCACAGTCCTGCAGAACTGCTTGGAGATGTGTAAGCCTTCCAAGATAACTGAGTGATGGGGACTGTGGCTACTCTACAAATGAGGTGTATTCATAAAACTTGAATGGGAGAGTGGAGGAAATGATGGGGGGCATTGTGCAACACAATCAGTATAAAAATGGGGGCCACTTGAAGGATGGGCGGACAAGGAAGACACACAGTCCAGTTTTAGTTCAGTTATGAGAATTTAAAGTGCAAGGACATTCTGAAGGTAGAAGCAGAGCAACCACCTTATTTTTCATAAATATTTATTACTTTTATATGTATGAGTGCTTTGCCTGCATGTAAGTGCACCCATGTCATGCAATGCCTGCAGAGACCAGAAGAGGGTGTCTGATCCTCTGGAACTGGCGTTATGGATGTTTGTGAACCACCTTGCGGGTGCTAGGATTCAAACCGAGGTCCTCTGGAAGAAGAGCAAGTGTTCTTAACCCCTGAGCCATCTCTCCGGCTCCTGCAACCACCATATTTTTTTTGTCCTTCATAAATACAAAATTTTATTTGCACTTCATTAGTGTAGAAAGACCACGATGCTTCTCATACCACAACACTTGGGACACATTCAAATACATACTTATTTACCTTGACTAAACAAAACAGCGTAGTTTAATAAAAGATATACCAAAGATAGAGTTCACAAATTCATAATCAGATCCCCCCCCCCAAAAATGAACACAGTCTAGGCTTGATAGGAGTGAGCTTCAGCATAAAGGGGAGCGTTGCTCATTACAAAATACAGAATGTTTAGGCAAATACACGTGTGTTCTTTGATATAGTAAAATGTATCTCTTTAAAATTCCTTTAAACAGGATTTATGTAGGACAGCAGCGTGGCTTTAAAATCTTTTTCTAATGTTTCAAAAATCCTTCTTTCAATTTTTTGGGGGTGTGATGCCGGGAATTGAACCCTGGCATGCTGGGCAAATGCTCAAATGCTGAGCTACATCCCCAGTTCACCAGTTCTTTCTTTGTTGAATCTTTATTTATCGTTCTGAAAAGCCTAAGTCATATCCATCAGGGAACCCAGAGATTCTGCAGGCCCGGGACCAAGTCAAACTCAGGCCTCTAATCAGGACTACCCTCTCATCACAGAATCAATAAATAACCTCAATGGCAGCTCTGGAGGGTGCTTTGAGGTGGCAGACACACTCCAAACCTCAAGTTGCTACAGCTGGAGGAAAGTCTTGTAAATAAAGAAAAAGCAGTTATTGTAGCTTCTTTTTGAAAAAAATCCTTAGTTTTTACAAATTTTCTTTCAACAGTAAGCAAAGCACCATGTTCTCTTTTTTATCAGAATATCTGTCCTCATAATTAACAAGGACAATTATGTTACTTAAGAAACCATCTACCTTCTTCTCTCCCATTCTTCATATATTAGAAGTACTACATCTCCCAGTGTAGGTACACTAGACACTGGGGCGATGAAGGAAACAGAATTTGGAGGGAAATATGTAACTTATAACCCAAACTTACCCAGGATTGCATATTTGCATATTTACAAGTTAGTGTATAGCTCTGACTTGGATTACAAAGTGTGAAAGGAAATTGTCAAAATGATTGTAGTGCGGAAGAGAATGTTTTCCCCTTTCTAGGAATTTTTTGCTGCACTTTGTCTGCAAAGTAGCAAATCAACAGCATCGGACGTGCAGTCGAGGTGGAGGCAGTTCTGGTGGGATATCTGGCTCTGGTTGTAACGAGAGGATGCTATTGGACAACTCATTCCTCAAAATATCCAGAGGCATCTTTTTCAGAATGTCATCAACGAGTTTCAGAAATATCTCATCCACATTGAAGTTATCCTTGGCGCTGGCTTCACAGAACCGCATCCCAGCTATCTGCTGTGCAAACTTTTCTCCTTGCTGTCTGGTGATTTCTCTGTTTAACAGTCCAGCTTATTTCCAACTAAGAGAAGCTCTGCATCTTCAGAAGCATACTTGTCAATCATTTTCATCTATTTCGGCAAGTCATCAAACGTCTCCTTCTTGGTGATATCATACACTAATATGATTCCCTTGGCACTTCTGTAATAAGCTGAGGTAATGCTGTTAAATCTCTCCTGACCTGCTGTGTCCCAGATCTGTAATCTAATTTTCTTTCCTCTTGGCTCTACAGTCTTGATTTTAAAGTCAACACCCACGGTGGACTTGCAGGCCTCGCAGAAGGTGTCGTCGGTAAAGCGCTCCATCAGGCTGGTCTTGCCCACGTCCCGGGAGCCGATGATGATGACCTGCAGCTTGAAGTCCGCCGGCCTGGGGGGCTGCTTCCTCCGGCGCCCCTGGCCGCCCGACAGCGCCGGAGAGCCCGCGCCCAGGCCGCCGCCCCCGGCCGGCCTGTGCAGCGCGGCGCCGGGATCCATGCACTCATACGGCTCGCGCTCGGCCCGCCGTCGGCCGTGCGCCCCGGGATCCGGCGCCCCCTCGGCCCCGAGCTCAGCGTCCGCCCCCTCGAACGGTCCCGGCGGTCCGCGGGCTCCGCGCTGCAGCTGTGTGACCTGCCGGCTGCCCTCTGCCCGCTCCGCGCTGCTGCCGCCGCCGCCGCCACCGCTGCCCCCGCCGCCGGGTGGGGAGCAGCTACTCCGCAGCAGCGGCAGCAGCATCCCGGACAAGGAGGGGCCGCAACCACCATATTTTAATTAAAGAATTTAAGGATGTCAGCTATGGTGGTACACATCTATTATTCCTGCTCTTGGGAGGCTTAGATAAGGGGATTGTGAATTCAAGACAAGCCCAGACTATGTAGAGAGAAAAAGAAAAAAAAAAAACAAATGAACAAACTTGTTAAGATGTGGAGCTTACTTTCCAGAAAGGTATAAACATGAGATTAAATATGTGGATATAAAGTCAGAATATTTTGTTAAATATTACAGAAAAAAATAAAGGAGAAGACCAGGATGTAGTGGGTGTAGTGTGCATTCGTAGATAGGAAGAGCAGTGATTGCCTTCATAGATGGCCTTACTGACAAGGTAGCATTGTAGCGAAGATGTAAAGAAAGTATGTAAACAAGCCAGTTGACTAGCTAAGGAATGGTAAAATCATAGGCTCTGAAACACATGAATATCTGGCTTGTTCAAGGAACTGGAGGCACTTCTTCCCAGTGCAGAGACAGTTGTCAATTCAGAGAACCCAGAGCTTCATCAGGAAAGTGTGGACTAATGTTTTTACTTAATCTGGCACACGAGACAGTTAAGTATCTCAGTTTTCCTGTCGATGCTGCTCACCCTCTGCCTGCAGAGCAGTCCAGGCACCCTCCCAGTCTGTACCCGTGCTCTGGACAGTCTAGTTGTCTACCTTCCCCATATATAGTAAGAACTTGCAGGATACTGTTGTTCCCTTTGTCTAAAAGATCTTGTCTTTGTTTCCTTTAACCATAACATGAAGCTTCCATATTACTCTGCACTTGAAGGAATCCTTAAACATACTGTGTCATTTTTACTCCTGTACATGTATCTTCTACTAACATGGTACCCTGTGTTCTCTGTCCTGCTTCTTTAGTTACTTCTTTCTTCTTCGGGGTCAGGTGCTCTCTCCTCCTAACACAACAGTATTGGAAAGCTTCCCCACCTGGTATTTTTCTCCATTATTTATATCAATGTTTCTTAAACATTAGCAGTGAGCAAAGTTCCACCGAGAACTTGTAAACAGATTGCTGATTTCCAACCCCCAGAGTTTCTAATTGAATGTGTCTAGACTGGAGCCTAATATAATGCTCTATTTTTTAAAAATAATAATATTTTAATGAAAAAACCCTCCTACATTTCTAGCTTTGTAGACAAAGGCAGAAGCTAAGTTCATGTTGAGTTACTGCTATACATATTTCCAATAGTTGCAGATCATTCATCTTTTTTCACCATGTCGTGCAATGCCCGAGGAGGACAGAAGAGGCTGCCGGATCCCCCTGGAACTGGAGTTATGGACAGTTATTAGCTGCCATGTGGGTGCTGGGATTCGAACCTGGGTCTTCTGTTAAGAACACAGTCAGTGTTCTTAACCACTGAGCCATCTCTCCAGCCCCCAAAGGTGCAGATTTATATTCAAATTCAAAAGTAAACTATTATATTATGTGAAATTAAAAAAGTTCAGAGAGAGGGAAAAGCCTGTACCTTATACTTTATTCTGCATGGATTGTTTCTTCATCTTCCAGGGGACTACAAGGAGTCAGTTCTCTGAAAAAGGGAGTCAGGCTATTTAAGTTCCCCTAGTGCAGTTACAGAAGAGGAGATGAATTGCTGGCAAACATCCAGTGAACACGACAGCTCCAAGCTTCTAGGAGATGGAGCATCTGGATTCTGTTCCAGCCCCCAGGATGTGGGCAGAAGCATCACTGTCACTTCGACAGAGCACCCTGTTGGCAGAGCCTGCTGGTGACCCTGCAAACTCAGGCGCAGTGCCCCTGCCTAGTAAAGCACAGATGAGGGCAGGTGGAAGTCCAGCTGCCACATTCATCACACACTAGGCTGATGGGGACTGTCTGTCACCCTCAGCATACAGTGTTTCTACTTGCATGAACACTGGGAAACAGGAAAGCCTCCTCTTTCATTTACATCTCATTCCTTCATCCTTTGGGCAGTTCCAGTCCATTCCTAACCTCTGTGGACATGTTTGGGCACTCTTGTGCTCTTGAAGGAGCACCTAAGTCCAGACCACCAGAAAACCAGTTTCTGTACATTCCATTGTTCTTTCCTCTTCTGGACAAATCCTCAGTCTTTGGGAAGGAATGGTCACTCAGTGTGGCAAGGGTGATGCTTGAAACGACGGTCAATTTTGAAAAGCCCTGGCAAAAGAGACACCCCTGTACCATCCCTGCCCCCTCTGTTTCCCCACCTGGCCCAGCAGGAAAGAAAATAAGCACAGGGAGACCAAGGCCCTGTGGTGACCAGGTAGCCAGCTCAGTGTGAAGCAGAAGCATCCTAGGGTTGTGGGATTAGAGAGAAGAAACTGGAAAGGCACCTAGCCAGGGGCCCTGTCCTCTTGGGCTAAGCATGGCAGGTGCTACAGGCAGAGAGCCCAGTCTGTCCAAAACATCCTCTATTCTCATGCCACAGCTGGCCATGCCTCCTCCTTCTTCCTGTGGAGTCCAAGGCCAAGATCCTTGGGCAGATATTTGAGCCAGCAGATGATCCAGAAGACCGTGAGTGAGAAGAGTGCATGAATTCTGGCCTCCACATCAACACTCTACTTCCTTGGGGCCCTCTGCAACATGTTCTACCTGACAAATATCAGGCTGGTGAAGTATATCACCAAGGAGATGGAAGACATGAACGATGCAGCCAGCAGTGAATGCTGAAAGCCTGCAGTTCCTAGAGCTTTCTCAGACACTTAGTTCCTTAGACCCAGGGAGTATGTTGTGCTAACTGCAGTGCACAGTTTGCTGTAGCCTGAGCCTGAGGCTGAGGAGTGACTGTGGCCTCTAGCATTCCTGATAAAAGGTGTGCAGTTATACAAGCAAGCTGGGGTGTTGCAAAAGCAGTTGTGGCAAATTTCAGAGTAGTAGACATCCAGCAGAAAGAGGCCAGGGCCTTCATAACTGTGTCCTGGTCTCCGGAGTCTATGCTGATCCTGACCCTTTACAGAATCTCTGGCTCTGGCTACAGAGCCTCTGGCTCCTGTCTGGTTAGTGGAGCTGCTCCAGATCTCAAATAATCTTTGATTTTCTCTTTAAAAAAGAAGTGAGGGCTGGTGAGTTGGCTCAACGGGTAAAGGTGCTGGAAGCCAAGTCACCTAAGTTCCATCCCCTGGACCCACATAGTGGAAGAGAAAGGCTGACTCCTACAATTGGCCTCTGGCCTCCACATGGGTGCTGTTGCACAAGCTCCTACACATATGCACAAACACAAAAACGTAATAGCTTAAAATTATTTTTATTTTTTTATTTTATGTGCATGAGTGTATTGTCTGGCTGTGTATAAATGCACCCATGTCCTGCAATGTCTGAGGAGGTCAGAAGAGGGCATCGGATCCCTTTGTTACCTGCCATGTGGATGCTGGGAATCAAACCCAGGTTTTTTGCAAGAGCAGCCAGTGCTCTTAACTGCTGAGCCATTTCTCCAGCTCTGTAATATTTTTTTAAAAAATTGAAAAACATTCTTTAGTTGAGAATGACACCATTGTGACAAAGGGACAGCACTGGGCCTGACATGGGAGCTAACAAGTGCTTTTCATTTTCTGGAAAATTCCAAAATTTTGATTTCTAAGCTGTTCAGGTGTTGCTGATCCTGAACAAGAAGTCGCAGTTTGAGAAAAGTTGGTTGATATGTAGCCCTACTTCACTTATCCTCACTATAATGCTAGTTCTACATGTAAGACCAATGAATTCATCTTTTTCATCGTGATATACCTAGGGCTTAGAAGAGTGCTTAGCTCTCCTGAGGGATACACACTATCTTTTACCACCTCACAGGGGCTGAGGAATAGGAACTGGAGTTCGGCCCGAAAGTCAGAAAAAGGAGGCCCTATACCTTGTTGCCAGTGCTTATGGTGTCAGCAACATGCTGAACCTTGTGCACTGAATTTTAGCTTTCTTCGAGAGGAGGATGGATTCTAATGAAACTCAGGTGCAAGATACTCTTCTGGGACTCAGTCCCCTGTCCTATACGCAAAGAGACTCCTCAGAAAGGCTCTCAACTATGAGGCTTCGCAGGGCAAGAAAAGCAGGAGGGGGCCCCAGTCATCCTTGGTAGCTGTTGAGTAGGAAGTGCTTCTGAGTTCCCAGAGTTAGGCCAACATTGAACTATGACCCAAGGTCTCTTGGTGGGACAGAGCAGAAGGGTATTTGGACCAACTCACAGAACGCATGACACAAAAGTCTTTGTGAGCTGTACTGAACTTTCTCCTTGCAAGATGCCTTTTTCTATTTCCCAAAGATGGGAAGCATCCTACACTGAGAGCAAATTTATCCTTGTTTCCCATGGACACATGGATGTGAAGCCAAGAAGCAGTCATAAGTAGTTTACGAAAGAAGGCAGGTGACCAGTTTTTCTGGGAGAATACTGAAGTCAGATTCCAAAATACTCTTACCTATCAGGTTTATGCAGGATAAAGTAGAATTTTGTATACATGTCCACAAGTCTCCACATATCATTCAGTGCTCTGTCTGAAAGGATGTTGAAGAATCTTGAGCTGTGTCTATGCATTTGCTGCTGCTGAGGAAGATGTATAGTAGTGATAGAGGGAGTTTCAATCTTTTGTTAAAACTGATTTTATTTTTATTTTATGTATGAGTGTTATGCCCGCATGTATGTAAGTGCAGTGTGTGTGTAGGTCAGAAGAGGCCATCAGATTCCCTGGAACTGGAATTACAGATGGTTCTTTGCTACCTTGTGGGGGTTTGGATCCAAACTCAGCCAGTGCTCTTAACCATTGATTCATTTCTCCAGCTCCAATGGAGGGAGTTTAAAGAGGTTTCCTGAGCAGCTATGATGACATTTGCACTCTTACTTGGACAGGTCACCCACAGATGAAACTGATGACATGGATGCTCCATTCACCAGTCATAAGAAACTTATGGGGAAGAAGTGGCTATTGTCTTTGACATGGACAATATGGTCAGAGAAGTGATGATATATGCTCATGTCTACACATGTGGTCAGTGTAGGACTTCTGCATAGTGAGTTTTTTTGTATTTGATGTGAAAAGTGTGACTTTTGTTTACTTGTGTCACAGGAAACTCCCAGGTGAAGTCTATCAGGGGAACTGTGACTGTTGTGTCCACTGACTACAGCTGGATTAATGAATAAATCTTCAGTACTGATGTGGAAAGTGGTCATGTCCCAGTGAACATTGGAACAAATGTCATTGGTCTTGTGGAAGAAAGTAAAGCAATTCATGCACTGAAAACAATCAAGGTAAGACTGTTTACCACTTGGAGTCTCTTATCCTAGTGGGATTTTGATCTTACTTGGATTAACACAAACATTTATGTGGATGTAGGGTTAAAGTTGACATACAACTTCCGTGAGCTCATATGACCTTCTGTTCTAATTTATTCCCCCATCCAAAAATTCTATTGAGGGAAAAATTACAAAACATTTATAGTATGGTGTTTATAGTCACAATCTGTAATGAACTGGTTCCCTTAAATATATTAGATCTCAAACTGACTCATCTTGTCATGCTAAAAAGCCTACTTCTGGGGTTGGGAGTTTAAAATGCTCATGGAGGAGTGCACTTGCCTATTAAGTACAATGCCCTGGATTTGGTCCTAAGCTTTGAGAAAAAGACAAAACAAGGACAAAATTACTAAAAAAAAAATCAAGAGTTGGAGAGATGATAGCACAGTGTTTAAGTGCTTAAGAGTACTGGCTGCTCTTGCAGAGGACCTGGGTTTGATTCCCAGTACCCACATGGCAACTAGCAACTGTCTGTAACTCCAGTTCCAGGGGATTTGACACGCTCTTCTGACCTCCTCGGGCAGTGCACGACATGGATGCACTTACATACACCTGGGTAATACACTCATACACATAAAATTTTTTAATAACTAAATTTTAAAAAAAGCAAAAAAGGAAAAGCCTTCTTCTGTCAAATTAGGCCAGAGAGTACATACATAGTGCTCCAACTGCACCTACATACAAACTATAAGCTCCTGCTCATTTGCCATCCAGAAAACTCAGGAGGCATTCCTCCTTTTTACATGAAAAAATGATAGTACAAAGTTTGGAATCCTCTATAATTAAACTAGGGATATTCATATACTGCATGCAATTTCAGCAGTGAGAGGTGGCCTCTTCACTTTACAGCTAATTGTGTGTTTGGGGGGGGGTGAGGCATGGTCTCCCTGTAGCCACACCTGACCTGGAGCTATGTAGACAAAGCTGGTTTAGGTCTCACAGAGATCCACCTGCCTCTGCCTCTCCAGTGCTGGGATTAAAGGCATGAGCCACCAAGCCCAGTTCTATGGCTAAAATGTTTTAAGTGGCAAAAATCTCTCCTTCTGTGCAGTTGAATTCATCCTACATTCAAGCACTAAAAAAATACATAACTAGTTGAGGAAGATATAAGGTAAGTTCTTTTACACTACAGAACATACTGTAATAGGATTGGTGCAATCAGCAAACACATTTTTTGATAGTTCAAAAAGTTTGAATTAGTAAAGTATGCCAATGTAACCTGATAGCAAAGTTTGTGGTCATTTCTCCCTCTCCAAGTTGAATGGGCAGCATCATATATTCTAAGAAAACAAAAATATTTCTCAAAACTACTTCCGAAGCATCAAGACACATTTCTGTAAAGAAATCATGATCTGGGGCTGGGAAGATGGCTGAGTAGGTCAAGGAACTTGCTGCCAAGCCCAAGGACCTGAGTTGGATCTCAAATCCACATGGTAGGAGAGAACTGACTCCCACAAATTCTGTGGTCCTCACCTCCACACCAAAATAAATAAAATTAAGTTTTTTAAAAAAAAATCATGCATCCATTTGAAAGTTATATAAACAAGGAAAAAAATTTATGAAATAGTGCAATCTTTTAAATTGATGAATGAATAGGGGTTCATGGGGCCCTATTCCTCCCTGCTAAACTATTGACTCCTCAGGGGTTTTAAGGCGAGACGGAATCATTATCTTCAGATGGGTAATGACTGGTGAGCTCAGCAGGCTGCGCTGGGTACTCCCATAACCATGTTCATACAGCCAACCATGGTTCTAACTCAGTGTGCCACTAAACAAAAGAAAAAGACATGAACATGGGAAATGGACCCATAGGAGGAGGGGTGGGGGTAGGGGTTGACCAGAATTGGAGGGAGATAGGAGAGGATGGGGGTGAGAGTAACATGCATACATGTTTAAAATTGTCAAAGAACAAATTTAATACAGAACATTTTTTTACTATTTTACAACAAAACAAGCAAGTGAAGCTACAAAAGGCATATATTACCATTAAAAGAGCACAAACTTCATTTTGCCAATTGATAGCAGCAGCCATAATTTAGTATAAGACTGTCTATTACTGTTCATTATCAGTTAGACAAACTTCTATGAACAAAACTCACAATATATACTTTTCATAGTATACAACTTAAATGCATTTTTCACATTGTGTTTTGGTACAGTGGCTTAAGACTCAAGACAATTGGAAATTCAGCAGCTACTTTCCAACAATTATGAACTATACTATGCCCCAGTGCTTGCAAAGAGCAGATGAAATGGTTCTAAGCTAAATATCCACCACACTAAGTGGGGGCAAGAAAACCATTATCAAGTTTTAAAACACAAGCATCTCTTGGTCCTTCAAGACAGAGAGAACTTTGCTTTAGAAACAAAGCCAACCATAACATATAGAGCTTAGGCTTGCTATCAAGGCATATTCTTGGCAAAATACTGGATTTTAAAATCTTGTAGTTCAGCAGCTTGGTGCCAGCTGGTTTTCTAACACTAGTCAGACAAACATTAGGAATTCCTTTCAAAGTAAGAGTTTGAACTGTAACCATGCCTTTCAATAGAAAAAAAGTACTAGGCTTTCTGCCCCTAGTGTCTCAAATCATCTGAGACCTAAAAAACTGGTATTTTTTCTCTCTTCCCATCACAACTGTACTGTTCAGCAAAAAAAGTTTCTTAGCTTTTTTCTTAACAAAATGAAACTCTTCAGTATTAACAAAAAATGAGAAAACTGTCAGCAAACCTAAGGAGTTCTGAGCCCAGGGTCCCAGTGGGGCCTACAAATTCCCTGTGGCTTCGTCACCCTCACCCTAGTGTCCCCAGTAATGTAGAGAGCAAGAAGCCCCATCCACTGGAACACTGCTTCTCCTCCTCTTCTTTCTCCTCCTCCGTCTCTTCACCTCTGGAGCCCTCTTGCCTCATTTTTCGGAGATGCACAAACTGCTGAAGATGGGTAGACGGTGGCTGCTGTTGAAGTTTGGGCTCTCTGTGCTGGAGGAGTATCCCAGAGAGTTGACACAGGCCAGCAAGGAATCGAGCGGGGCGGACAGCATGTCGAACTCTGGAGACTCAGGCAGGATACACAGCTGCTGGAAGCTGAAGGGCGAGGACTGTGCCGAGGGGGTGTCAGTAGCTTTGTGGTTGGGATCTGTATCTTCAGAGTCCACGTTGGTGTCGGTGTTGCTGTTGATGTCGGTGTTGCTGTTGATGTCGGTGTCCCTGGTGATCAAGGAGGCGGTGGGCAGGGACTCTGCAATGGGTAGCGGTACAGCGGGGAGCAAGGGCACGGCCAGGGGTGCAGGAAACCCCGTCGATGCAGCAAAGCCCAACTGCTCGTTATGATAGTAGGCAGCGAAACTGTGGGTTTGGCAGGCCAGCGGCGAGAGGAAACCTCTCAGCTCAGGGCCCAAGGTGAAGGCGTTGTTGGAATAAGGAGCCGCCATCAAGCACGTGGCGCCCTGGGCTGCTGTGCAGCACATCCGGGCGCCCAAGGCTGTGGTGTAGGAGGCCTGCAGTGGCGGGCCAGTGCCCGACAGTGGGCTTTTGCGCTGCAGCGGCACCCTGAGACCTCCCGGGGTCTGGGGGTGGCTGGAATTCAGGTTGAGCCTCGGTTCCCAGGGGAGGTCCGGATGCAGAGTCTCTGAGACGCTCTCAAAAGGCGCCGCCGGCTGCTGCTCTTTCCGGTTGTGGATGAAATGGCAGCGTGTGCCATATGGGCAGAAGCCAACGCTGTGGAAGGTACGGCACAGCTCGGTCTTGTACTTGGGGTGCCGCGACAAGATGCGCAGCTCTCGGAGGCCATGAGCAAACTGGCACTTCTGACCATACTTGCAGTTGCCACACTCCTCAAAGGGCCAACACAGTTCAGTCTTGTAACGTGCCTTGCCCAGCAGGCCAAAGCTCATTCTTTGCCCCTTCAGGTGCCCCCTGCCCTCGCCATTGTGGAATGGAGCCACACCCCTGCCTGACGACTGGAGCAAGCCTTGGGAGCCCTCCCCTGACCCCGCGTAGTCTTCCCAGCACCAATTAGCAGCTCCCTGGAAGTTCCAGGGTCTAGGAGCCAAGGAAGTGACCTCTGACTGGTTAATTGGTGGAAATGGTTGGAAGGAACTTGATGTAGAGCTGCTGGGGGCAGTGGCCACCTGCGTTCCCACTGCCTTCGAATCTTGCGTGCTGCTCACGTTAGCGTTGCTCACCTTTCTCTCAGTCTTACACACAAGGTCCACATCGTAGAAGGTCCACAGAACTGCGGACATTTTTCTGAGTCCAGTCAAGTTTGGATCAGTCAGGAAAAGTTCAGAGCAGCAAGCAACTAGACGCTCCAGAGGAACCCTTGAGGCGATGCCTGGGCGCTCCAACCAAGAGAAATGATGGCGGAGGGGCAAGGAGGAGCCTAAAGTTTGCTCCAGGGGGTGGGGGGGTGGATGGCAAAGAAAAAAGGAAGCTTCAATGGGCAGGAGGGCGGGGTCCAGGAGCGCTGGGAGGAGGAAAAGAGGCGTGGTTAAGAGTGATGCTGTGTGGGTCTGTGGTTCCCAGTATGCCCCCTGGCGCTTCTGGACTGCCGGAACTTAAAAGTCTTCCAATGGGATCCCTACATAGAGCCCAGGACTTCTGCTGCCTGACCCCCAGACTGGAGGAGGGCTTTGTTCAAATTTCTCAATGCAAAAAGTTTATCAGTTTAAACATTCAAATAATACAGCGAAACATAATTATTGGACTCCGATAACTGACTACACCCACTTTTTAGTCATAGCCATTTTCCATCGCTTCCTGCCAGAACCCATATGTGGTGTAAAAAGAACTGATTTCCTAAAGTTGTTGGACATCACCACCCACGCACCAGCCTGTGCCTACACACATACACAAAATCAATCAATTAAAATAAAACTTTTTTTTGTTACATGCATTCAACTTGGAGTTAAAGCTGGTGAGATGGTTCAGCAAGTAAAGGTACTTAGAACCAAGCCTGATGCTGTCAGCCCAGGACTCGTGGTAAAATTAGAGAACCAGCTCCCTAAAGTTGTTCTTTGCCAAATCTTTGCAGAGACAAGTAACACAGGGCATCCACACAGGCCCCATCAACAAGAACAAATGGGCAAATGTAATTAAAAAATTTTTAAGTTGGCTCTTGTTATATGCATTCAAGATGGTGGAATTATGGCTGTTGAGATAGCTCAGTGAGTTCAAGTCCTTGCCGCCAAACTTCAGGGCAATGAATTAATCCCATAATTCGCATAGTAGGAGACACTATTTCAGAAAGTTGTCCTCTAAAATCTACTTGGGGGCTACGTACATACCCACCCTCACATACACATGCTAACAATAAACAAAAAAATAAATAAACGCCATTTTGTTTTATGCTTTTGGGAATATGGATTTAGGGTCATCCAGATGACTCAGCAGTTAAAGGCCCTTGTAGCCAAACCTCATGAACTGAGCTCAAGCCTCAAAAACCACATGGTAGAAGACAAGAACAGCTCCTTAAAGTTGTCCTTTGACTGCTAGATCTGTGCAGTAGCAAGTGGCATCTGGGTGTGCACACACACACACACACACACACAGAGTCAGTCAGTCCAATCAATCAGTCATTCAATCAATCATTCAATCAATCAATGACATTTTATGGTGATTCTTTCAAAGTAATAGAATTAGGGTCATGGAAAATGCTCTGTTTGTACAGGCATTTTCCAGCAAGTATGAGGATGTGAGTTCCAGTCCCCTAACTGACCTGGACGAGAGAACCAACTTCCTCCATTTGTCCCCTGACCTCCTCAGGTCCACTTTGTTGTACTCAGGAACACATGCACATACACATAAATTAAGTCCATAAATACATCATAAGTATAAAAAAATTCAAGTCATTTTCTGCTGTATGTATTCAAGGTAGTGGAATTAGGGTTGGCAAAGATGGCCAGTAAGGTAAAGGTGCTTGCCTCCAAGCTTGACAACCTAGGCACCCCACAAGTATAAAAGAAATAACTGATTTCCAACAGTGATCCTCTGACTTCCACTCCGGACACAGGCTTTGTGCCAGAAGACATAAACATAATAAACAAGCAAACAAATAATATCAAAAAACCATTTTTTCTAGTATGTATGCAATATGGTGCAATTAGGGCCAAGGAGATGATGGATCAGCAGGTAAAGGCACTTGCTGCCAACCAAGCCTGTAGACCTGAGTTGGAGCCTCAGGACCCACATGGTGGAGAGAACTGAGTCCCAAAAGTTGTCGTGAGCTTCACACATTCTCAGTGGCAGGTGCATGCTCCCTCACATGCACACATAACAAATAAAAAAAACAAATGAATAAATAAACATTTGAAGCTACCTTCTGCTGTGTGCATTCCAGGTGGTGGAGTTAGGGACAACAAGAAGGCTTACTCTGGATAGGCCACTGCCACCAAGCCTAATGACCTGACTTTGATTTCCGGGGTCCAAATGGTGGAAGGAGAGAACTTACTTTTGCAAGTTGTCCTCTGACTTCCATATCTGCTTTGTGGCATATACAGGAGTGTATGCCACACGTGCACAGGCGGGCACACACAATAAATGAGTAACAAATATATAAATGTTTATTTTACTTATTTTACTTTTTTGAGACAGTGTCTCCTTATAGCCACAGCTGGCCTGGAACTGGCTATGTAGACCAGGTTGGCCATGATCTTATAGAAATCTGCCTGCCTCTGCTTCCCAAGTACTGGGATTAAAGGTGTGCACCACCACATCCAGCTATAAATAAATGTAATAAAAACTTAAGGGTGTTTCTCCTTGTATGCATCCAGGGTGGTGGAATTAGGGCTGGAAAAATAGATCAGCTGGTAAAGGCTCTTGCTGTCATGTCTTAAAACTAGAGTTTGAGCCCTGAACACACAGTGTTGAAACAGAGAACCAATTTTCAGTTGTTCTGTAACCCACACACATACACACAACAAATAGATGAACAAATGAATGAATGAATAAGTAAATAAACAAGCAATATTTTGTTATATGCATTCAATTTGGTGGAATTAGGGCTGGTGAGATGACTCAGTAGGCAAAGTCACTTGCTGTCAAGCCTGACGCCCTGAGCTTGAACCATGAGACCCGCAGGGCAGAAGAGAGGAACGACTCCTGCAATTTGTTCTTTGACTGCTAAACCCGAAAGTAGCAACTGACAGGTGGATAGAAACAGGCCTGCATTTCTCTCTCTCTCTCTCTCTCTCTCTCTCTCTCTCTCTCTCTCCTCTCTCTCACACACACACACACACAGAGGATAAAACAAACTAAATATAATTTTAAACAGTCTTTAAAGTCATTTTCTATATTATGCTTTCAACTTTAGAGCGGCCGAAATGGCTCACCCTATACAAGTGCTTATTGCCAAGACTGAGGACCTGAGGTTGATCCCTAGGATCAAAATGGTAGAAGACAACCAAATTCTCCTAGCTGTCATCTGACCAAAAGCACAAGTTGTCCTCTGACTTCCACATACACACACTGTGGCATGTGCACATCCACCAAAATAAATACATAAAAATAAATAAGCAAATAAATGTTGTAAGCCAGGCATGGGGATGCACGCCTGTAATCCCAGCACTTGAGAGGCAGAGGCAGGTGGATCTCTGTGAGTTCAAGGCCAGCATGGTCTACATAGTGAGTTCCAGGCCAGCTGGGGCTACAGAGAGACTTTTTCTCAAAAAGACCAATAAATAAATAAATAAATAAATAAATAAATAAATAAATAAATAAAATGTCATAGAAATTTTAAACGTATGGGACTGGAGAAATGGCTCAGCAGTTAAGAGTACTGGTTGTTCTTACAGAAACCTTGGTTCGAATCCCAGCACCCACATGACAGCTAACAACTGTCCATAACTCCAGTCCCAGCATATCCGACAGCGTCTTCTGACCTCCACAGGCACTGCACGGCACCGGTGTACTTACCTACATGCAGGCAATACATGCATACACATAAAAATTTTTTAAAAGAAATTTTAAAGGTATAAAAATTTTTATTTTCTATGCATTCAAGGTGATGAAATTAGGGCTGGCAAGATACCTCATCTTGTAAAAATCTGGCTGCCATGTCTGTCAACTGGAATTTGAGCCCTAAATCCTCATGGTAGAAGCAAAGAATAATATTTGCAAAGCTTGTTCTCTGACCCACATGGATACACTATGTAAATATAAGTAAATAAATAAAATTAGAGTCAAAAGAAACTTTTTTTGTTATATGAATTCAACTTGGTGGAATTAGGGCTGCTGAGATTCCTCAGCAGGTAAAATTACTTATTGCCAAACATGATGCCTTGTGCTCAATCCCTGGGACCCACATGATAAAAGGAGAGAACTGACTCCTAAAGTTGTCCTTTGGCTGTCCAGACCTGTGCAGTGGCAGGAGGCATGAATGGACCTATACATTTCACGTACTTGCCCCACTCACATGCACACATATAAAACAAACAAAAATGCATAAAAACCATTTTATGCTGTATTCATTCAGTGTAATAGAATTCAGGTACACCTGAAGGTTCAGTGGTTAAAGGCATTTGCTGCCATGCCTAATGACTGGAGTTTGATCCCTGGGATCAAGTGGTAAAAGGAGAGAATTGACTTATTCAAGCTGATCTCTGACCAACATATACACATACACCCTGGCATTCTCACATGCACAGGTACGTGTACATATAAAGCAAAGTCTTAAATATTTTAAAAAATTAAAGTCATTTTCTGTTATATGCATTCAGTGTGATGGAATTAGGACCAGTAAGGTGGCAGAGTGGTTTATACACCTGGGACCAACTTGCCCATCGGATTTGGTTGCTAGAACCTATTTTGTGTGACACAGTTAACATGGAGCTGTGAAAAAAAATCAGTGCAAATAAGGAACCAAGGAAACACCAAAGCAAGGATACCACCAAAGTTAACTTGGGGAACTATTGGGATAAGTCAGGGGTTCCTGGAATGTAGAGCATGGCCACCAGGCTGGATACCTCCTAGTGAGGATGGCAGGAAACTGGCCTGCTCCATTCTAGACACACTGTCTCTTACCCAACAACCCCCAAGAAAAACTATTAAGCCTCTAATCCTTTAATCCTAACCGGGTCCCTTGTAGATTATGTAACTGGAGGACAGGACAAAGTCCTCATAGCCTTAGAAGCCCCCTCCCTCCTCCTACCTGCCAGCCTGCCAGAAAACTAACCCCACCTTTTTGCCTTATATGAACCTCTGCTTCTGCCACAATAAACGGAACGAGTTGTACACTGACACAGTCTCC